AGGCAGCGATAATCGATAATCATTTGTGGTTTGGGTGCTTTTTAGTGTGTTTTGGGTGCTTTTTTGGTGTTTTGGGTGCTTTTTGGTGTTTTGGGTGCTTTGCAGGCAGCGATAATCGATAATCGTTCGTGTTTTGGGTGTTTTTTTTTGTGTTTTGGGTGCTTTTTGTGTTTTGGGTGCTTTATTGTGTTTTGGGTGCTTTGCAGGCAGCGATAATCGATAATCGTTTGTGTTTTGGGTGTTTTTTGGTGTTTTGGGTGTTTTTTGGTGTTTTGGGTGTTTTTTTGTGTTTTAGGTGCTTTGCAGGCTCTTGGCCATGGGGTGACTCTCCGAGGTGAGGGATGGGAGCTCAGCAGGGCTCTGGCAGCTCCTGCCAGGGTTGGGTTCTGCTCTGCTCTGGGGTTGTGGCTTTAGTGAGGAACTCCCCACATTCCCATCGTGCTTGGACAGAAGGCTCTGTTGAGCAGGGAGAGGACACGGGATGAGATGATAACACAGAATGAGTTTGAAATGGGAAATGGGAGCAGCATTTGGGTGGGGTTTGCTCTGGAATGAGCTGCTCCCAGCCCGCTGCTGGAATTTGGGGCTGGGAGGGGAGGCTGAGGAGCCTCTCTGCTCCTCGGTGTGTTTGTGCTGCTGTGCAAGAGAGTGGGAGCCAGAGACAGCTCTTCATTAGCAGSAGAAAATGAAATAAATGAAGAAGAATGGTCAGTGTTAAAAGTAAATTAACATGAATTAATCACTGACTAATACAATGTTCCCAGCATTAATCATTCGCTCTTGCTGTAGCCGGAACATCAGCCAGGCAAACCACTCATGAAAATTCTGAGTGTGTTTGGTCCTGCCAGCTCAGGGGTTGAGGAGAATCTGAACCCAGCACCCAAAAACCCTTCAGGAGCTCCAGCTCAGCTCTTGTGTGCTGCTGGAGGCATCGGGTCCTTTGGGCTTTACGGGTCACAGCCCTTCTGCTGGGATGGTGGAGCCTTTAGGAAAGCACTGTGGGATTCTCTGGAGCTTTTTGGTGTTTCAGGACAGAAAATAGGAAAAATGTGATGGGAGAGAAATCTGCTTCTTTCAACTCCAGCTTTGAATTGATGACAACGAACAGATTTTACCAAAATGAAAGGAAAATAAATTGGTGAAGAGACAGAATATATTTATCTGGTTAATTAAACAAAACAAAAAAACGAATCAACCTGATCTAAAACCCTCTGGTTGTCCCTTGGCCCCTGCTCATTGTCCTTTAACAGTGACACCATCTGCACCATCACAGGAGCAGAGAGCAGGGACATTGGCCAGCCTGGCCTGGCTCATGATGAGCTGGGACAATCCATTTTTATTTTCAAGAGCTGGCAGGAGCTGGAGGTGCCTGTGGGGAGCTCCATGACATCAGTCAGATTTCAGCTGTGGAAAGGGTGTCCAGTTTGGACATTTGGGGTGCTGCTGGTGTGTGTGGGAGCTGGGCAGGAGGAGGAGGTGCATTTTGTGGGTATCTGCAGCTCTGATACAGGGGCAGGTGGAATTCTGGTGGCTGCAGTCCCTGTCACACCCACAGAAGGGCTTTTCTCCCTTTATTCAAACAAAACATGAGGAAAATCCTACCTGGCATGTATATGACTTCGTGTAAGGAATGTTGGTAAAACCCCTAATATCTGCTTTTTATACTGCAAGTGATTGAAGCAGCCAGCAGCAGTTAATATTTTATGAACAGTGGAAAAAAAAAAAAGATTTAAAATCCAAAAAAGTCTCCTAAGAAATATAAGCAATGCAGCAGATTCTGTGGAAGCTTTGGTTGCTGTAAAAGTGCAGAATGTGCTCCGTTTGATTTTCAGTTGGAAAAGCAGTTGTGGGCGAGTTGGAACACAAAGAGTGGCCACAGATTAAAACTGATATTTCAGCCTCACTTTTATTGTGATTGCACAGAGCAGCCCTTGG